CGACGACGACTGGAAGGACCAAGCCACCAACATGCGTCGTCTCAAGAAACGCTCATTGTCGGAAACGACTGAGGAAGAGTCGGGAGATGACCTGATTGATGTCGATGATGATGACGACATGGAAGTCGATGCCGACATTCCGGCAGACGACGAAGATGATGATGTTCAGGTCGTAAGTACATTAGATGCAGCCATGGTGGACGATCTCGCAGAAGCACGCCAGAAAGGAACCTGGGTCAAGAAAGGCACTGTGAAGAAGGAAGAGTCCGATATGCCGGACGATTCTTCAGCAGCAGCCTCAGCTTCAACAGCAGTTAAGAAAGAAGAAAAGTCAGGTGCAAGGGTCTGGTCCTCCCGAGCAAGGTCACGCACGCCAACTCGCACTGTCCTTAAGAAGGCTGACCGAGCACCGGGAATGACCCGCACGCCATCCGGCCACAGGGTTTCGTTTTCCGATATTCCGGAAACGCAGTACATCGAGCCAAGGCCCAAGAAGCTCCCGAGCAAGGGAGGTCATCAGCGACGCCAGAAAGGCACAGAGTACTCCAACAAAGTATTTCCACCGTCCAGAGAAGATGACGTGCCTTGTCTGTTCCAGCGCTGACGTACTTTTCTTCTGCAGAGCATGTAGTCATGGAACATGCCTTGACTGCTATCATGATGTCAGCAACCATTTATCTCTGTTCGACAGTCCCAGACGCCGATATTCCGGCACCGCTGGATGAGCACGAGCGCGAAGAGGTCACAGCAGAAATCGATTTCACGATTCCCTTCGCAGCCGAATCCGAGGGTTGGCACCCGGACGACCGGTATGCCGGTCGATTGCACCGTCTGCAAGAAATCAAAGATCTTGTTCTCGGTGGCGGCTCAACAGGTTATGCAGCGATGGATCGAATTGTCCTTGAAGGAGTCAGCAAGTACCATTACACGAACCATCCAACCTACAGGAGCCGTTCCATTCCCTCGATTGCTCAGCACTGGGACGAACAGTCCGATGTGGCACCATACCCAATCATTCGGCCAAGCTGCTTTTACGACTCCAATCGCCGATATACCGGCGCGGAGATGCGACAGATTGTCGAGCATGCAGCGGCAACTGGAGACTCGCTTGGAAGCCGAAAAGCACCACCGTGAGATCACCCTCCGGGACAAGGTGAACCAAGCACATAACACCCAGATGGCACGACCTGTGAGGTTCGATCCTGGCGATCTCGTCTTCTACAAGCGCTACCAACCTCCTGCAGATCGACAAGAGCGCTCTCATCAAGAACTTGATGTTCCTCGAAGACGTGTTGCCCGATGGTACGGCCCTGCCAGAGTCTTGGCATGCGAGACCAAGGTGACCTATGATGGACATGTTCGACAACCTCACCACGTGGCTTGGCTGATCGCCGCAGGGAGACTCAAGAAGGTCCACTTCAATCAGACGCGACACGCATCAGAGCGTGAACGCTTGGTGGCAGAGAGCACGACCCAGTTGACCCTGCCATGGACTTTCCAGAACCTGTCGAGGCTGATCAACAAGGGCGAATATGATGATGAACTGCTCACCGACCTTCAACTTCGAGAACAAGCCCGAGCTGCCCGTCCTCTTCTGGATGAACAAGAACGAGCCGGACGAGCTGAGATGAAAAGAGCACTTGAAAGCTCGACCGCTTCAGCATCAACGGGGCACCATCAGATCCCTGAGAAGGTGTGAAAGACCTCAAGAGGAACTTCTTTCCTGCCAGCTGAGACAGCTGCAGATGATGATCCTGATGCTCCTGACATCGACATGGAGGAGTACACGCCATCACACTGGATCCTCGAGACATGATCCAAGATGAGCTGGACCCAGCTCGACTGGTAGGCGATCCTTCCTACCTGCCACTTGGGACGGCTGAACAAGGCCCTCTCTTTCAGCACCGTCCATTTCTTGAAGCCCGCCGACGACACGAACTTCTTGAACGACCTCATTCGGTGCAACGTCAAGAATACCTACAACAGCAACGGGGCACCGGCAGTGAAGGTGGAGCTCTCCTAGCACAAGACGCCTTTGAGGAGTTGGCGATGGAGGACTATGTCTTCGCGGTCACTTTGCCTGCGCCCGCCAGTGAGGCGGAATGGCGAGCCATCGTCAAGGACCCTTCCAAGTTTGTGGCAAAGAAGGTTGCCAAGGGCATTGAAGTGGCATGGCAGAAGCTCAATGTGGAACAGAGGAAGGCCATGCAAGAAGCGAAGGAGATCGAGATCAACGAATGGCTGAGCTCCAAAGTCTGTCAAGCTGCACTTGGCCACGTGCCGCCCGAGAGGCTCATGAAAATGAGATGGGTTTTGGTTTTCAAGACCACGGACAACGAGAACGTGGTCAAGGCCAAGGCGAGACTGGTGGTTTTGGGCTTCACTGACCCTACGTTGGGGCTTGAAAGTGTTCGATCTCCGACCCTCACCCGTCGGGGACGACAGGTGATGCTTCAGCTATGTGCCCATCGGCATTGGCAACTTCTCAAAGCTGATGCCAAGGCGGCATTCTTGCAGGGCAACTCTACTCAGCAGCAGAAGAACCTGTTCGGCATGCCTGTGGAGGAGCTTCGTGTGGCAATGGGATTGGAGCACAAACAAGCAAGCGATCCAATTCCTGAAGGCTGCCTACGGCCTGACAGTGGCACCAAAGGAATTCTACCGCGTGTTGAAGGACCTCGGTCTGAAGAGGCTCAAGTCAGATCCTAGCATATGGATTCTGACCAAGGCCACCACTTCTGGCACCTCGACCACGATTGGAGCTGTTGGAGCCCACGTCGACGATTTCTTGTTGGTGGGTGACGAAAGAGACCCACAATGGGTTAGCTTTCTAGAAGCCTTCCATGAACGAACGGCTTCGATGGAGTCCTTGGGAATGCGCTCCTCTCCATCATTGTGGAGTCAACATGGAGCAGAGCATTCATGGACACTGGCACCTCACCCAAGAAGCTTTCTGCCAGGAAATCAACCAAGTGACTGAAGATGGCCTCACCAAGGACTTGACGCAGCACGAGCGGCACCAATGCCGCGCGGTCCTAGGAGCAGCACAATGGCGTTGCTACCAAAGCGGCCCTCAGCATTCCTCGAAGCTGAGCCATCTCCAAAGTATGTTGCCCAAAGGTGACCGGAACACCTTGAAGGACATCAACCGCTTCGTAAAGGAGATCTACAGCCAGAAGGAGCTCGGCATCACTGTGTATGACCTCAAGGCAACCTGCGACGAGGACATCGTGGCAGTTGGATGGTCGGATGCAGCTCTGGCGAACCAGAAGATGTTGGAAGGCCACCAAGGCCCAGTGAGCATCATGAGCTGGAGCACTCATAAGCTCCGAAGAGTCTGCCGTTCGAGCTTGGCAGCTGAAGCTCAGGCTTTTTCGGAGTGCGAGGCTGAGCTGATGATGGTGCGCTTTTTGTGGCAGGAGCTACTTGGACGAGAAGCTACGCTGGCTTCCCCATGGGCGACTTCCCGCCTGACTCCTGGCGTCCTGGTGGTGGACGCGAAGGCGCTGTTCGACCTTCTTCAACAGGAGGACATCCCCAACATGTCCGCCAAGGAGAAGCACACCGCCTTGGAAGTGCTTGGCCTGAGCCAGCATTTGGTGGACCAATCCACCATCCTGCGCTGGTGCAACTCCGACCAGCAGTTGGCTGACGGGATGACGAAGGTGAGCGCCCAGGACAAGATCACCAAGTTCCTGTCCAGCGGCCAGAGATGGAATCTGGTCTATGACAGCACCTTCACGGCAGCGAAGCGACTCCGAGCAGCTGGGCCGCCGCTGAAAGCTGAGGTAGATAGCCTGAAAGATCCCTCGTTCACGGACTGCTGCGCGACGGTTCGGGGCATGTGAGTTTTTCAGGTTCAGACATGTCAGCTGAACACTTCCAAAGCAACCGCCGCACCGCGATCCTGTGACCTCAAGGGACCCCTTTGGCCATACCTGGCTTTTGAGCACCTGGACGAAAACCGTCCGATTCGAGCCATGGAAGAAAAGCGCTGGCCGACCTGCGCAAGGTGACACGCACGAGAAGTGTACCAAGCTTTGTTCAAGACAGCGAACCCTTTTGACTTTTGGGAATACATGTTTTTTCTGCTGTTACGTTTTTTTGGACTGTGTTGACTTTCTTTAACTGTTTTTTACTTTTTCGAGTTGTTTTCTAATGTTGACTTGTTTTTACTTTTGTTTAGTTTTTTGCTTTTGAATGTTTTCTATTTTTTCGAGTTGTGATTCATTGTTGACTTTTTTGACTTTTGTTCGACTCTTTTTGTTGACTTTTCCATTTGACTCATTTGACTTTGACTTGTTCATTTGACTTGTTTTGACTGTGTTTCGACTGATTGTTTAATCAAGGATTGTGGCCTCACCATATGAAAGAATCTTTTAAAGCTAGTGTGAACTTTGATGAGTTTGGTTATGTACTTACGTGACTCTGACGCCAGCTCCTGAGGTGAAGTTTTTGCAACTGCTGAACGTCCCTAAGAAATCCAAAGGGGAGCCAGCTCAGAAGAAAGCCAAGACGGAGGACCTTTTGTTAAGACCGTGGCGAAAGCAAAGCCAGACGGTGCCTGATCATTCGCCTTTCACGTGTTTGGTGCATCCAGGCATGTCCAGGCAACGGTGGAGGCATGGCATGTCACCCAAGTATGAACAGTAGGGGGTCCTGTAGACTGCAGAATGTTATATAATACAAATCACATCCTTGGCAAAAGAAAGGGTAACAGTGTACCTGGACAAGCTATGACAGGCTCCTTTGCCGCAAGCCTTTGACATCCCATTCAATTGTTGGCTCAAGCCAAACACCGGCTTTGTGAGGATGTATGTATGGAAGCTCATGTTAACCAAAGCTTGCACCACTCCAGGGGCAATGCCAAGTCCCACTGCCCAATCGAGCCGCCCAAAAAGCATGTCCCTTTTTCACCACTGAACCCACACAAACCGCTCTACTGGCACCGAAGCGGCACGCCCCTGGCCACGCCATGTGCGAAGCCCCAGCAGGCGCAGGATGAGCCTCGCATACCCCACCTGGCGGAAGCAGAAGGAGGAGGAGGAGAAGGAGAATGACCAGACCGAAGATGGTCAAGAGCCCGGCCCTTAACGGCGCATCAGCGTGGCCACAGAATGTGTTTTTCTCTTCCATGATGGGTCGCAGGTTGAGTTTTCATGGGTTTCCCGTCGCCCGTAGAGGATGCCACCTCTTAACTTCGCGTCAAATGATGCAAAGTATAACATACTGATCCAACTGTACTTGCATGATTCCATAATATTCCTCCCAGGTTCTTGCGACACCGACTTGTTTCTCCGCTTTTCGTTTCGGAAAGAACACCTCGCAGTTCCGCAAGGAATATAGGCCGCATCTCGTCCAGATGCTCCACCTTCAGCTTTGCCCAGGCCGCCCACCAAGAAGCCGCGGCGTGCACGCGAGACGCGGTACTTTGCGGCGCGTGGGCGCGTGGCCTCAACGCTGAAAGCCCGTGAGAGTCACCTCTTTCGGCCAGTGCGTTCCATTGGCGCCGTGGCTGATAGCTGCTTGGCTGCACGGCGCCAATGAGACGGCTTTAGGTGTTGTTGGGATGACCCAGAGTTGTTTGTGTGTTTGTGTTACACCCATTTGTTGTCAGAGCAGGGGAACTGTGTACTCTGTGACTGACCCAGTTCAACGAAGCTAGGTCACAGAGTGGGATATTCGGACTGATCATCCGAACGTACTGCGATTTATTGAACTTTTTAACAGGCTGTTTGCTGTTTGCCCTACTTTTCCTTTGGGGGAGCTGCCGCTGCCGCGCTTATGTTCCGCCGACCATTGCATTGTTCAAACGCCTACAGTTTGATGGACCCAGCACTCTTGCCGTTCTGCACTAAGTAACCAGTCAAGGAAGCTGCATCACGGACCACCACTTGGATTATCGTTTGAATGAACCTTTTATCGAAGGTGTGTACTGCTACGCTTTCCCACTTGACTGCGTAGTGTGATCCCCGCAAGGGGCGCTGAGACCATCCAGGGTTATCACTGCCGGCAATTGCTTGTTTGTGCTCAAGAAGCTTTTAAGCTGCATGACGGACTTTCACGGATAGCCTGCATGAATGCTGACGAGCTTACGGTACATTTCAGTCATTCGACTTAGCATGGAAAGTTCAACATTTTTCGCGCAGATTCCGAACTTCGCCCCCTTTTCAGGCTCGTTTTCCTGCCCCTCGGTTTCGTTTCTTTCTCTCCTGCCTTTTTGTTTCTCTTTCTAAGTTAGCCTTTTTCTCTAGAGGCTTTTTAGGTCTGTAACCAGGCTCTTTAGTCAAGGGCTATAAGTAGTCAAGTCAAGGGCTAAGTAATCACTAGGTGTAAAGCCTTAGTAATTTCCAAGCTGTCTACTGCAATGTTACCTTTTAGTGCAAGCGTGCGTGTGTCGAAGACACTGGATGTGCGCTGGTGAAATCAATCCGGGACGCCGGATTGAGGTACCTGCTTGGAGAGAAACCTACGTAGAGCACAAGCTGTTTACTTCGTTGTTTCCTGCAGTAAAGGGCTAATGCAGCGGTGATGAACTTGGCTTTTCTGCACGTACGTCGTCACCTTGTCGTCCGCTCGATCGTTGGTTTCCTTACCTGTACCCTTAGGAAATGGTAACCTAGGCCGGCGTGTGGCACCGCTGTCACGTCAGTATGCATATCCATAAGTGTGTCTCTCCCAGTGAGAGTCCGGGATGGGCCCGTAGAGTGCCTCCCGTGGACCCGTCGAACGGGTGTCTGTCGTTATCTCCCCTGCCTGGAGATGTACGTGTCCGGAGCGGACAGTATAGCTGGCTCATGCCACAAGCTTAACGCCTCAACGCGGTCAGAGCGACCGAAGTACTTTTGAGGTTCATTGGAACCTGTCCCAATCTCAGGTGCACACACAGCGCTTACATTCAAACGAGGCAGGTCCCTAGGCGCTTCCACTGAGGTTTGGTTTCATCGGTTCTCGTCCCCTCTATTTGGTTCCCCTTTCATCCCTTCCCCTTCACACACTTTTGTTTTCTCTTTTCTTTCATGTCCTCCTGTCTTCATGTCTGGTCATCTCATCCTTTCCTTCGTTTGCGCGCACATTGGTCCCGGCCTTAGTGTGTACGTGCACTTCTACATACATGTAAACACAGGTTTCAGGTCGCCCAGGTCTTTACAATGAGGTGGGCTTCATCGGGTGTCCCTGTGCACTTTGTTCCCCTTTCATTTCAACCACACGCACCTTTGTCCCGTCTGTCCTCCTGTCATGTCTTCATTCTTTTGTCTCTTGTGCGCGCACGTGCACTTTTGCCCTCACCTTAGCTTTACGCCTTGTCTCGGGGAGGCGTGTGTGTGTGCCCCTTGTAATCGCAGGGATTCCGTTGAATTGTTTCTTCTCTTTTTCAGCAGGGGGTGCAAGCAGCCCATCCAGTCTTGCACCAACGAAGACACTGGATGTGCGCTGGTGAAATCAATCCGGGACGCCGGATTGACGTACCTGCTTGGAGAGAAACCTACGTAGAGCACAAGCTGTCTACTTCGTTGTTTCCTGCAGTAAAGGGCTAATGCAGCGGTGATGAACTTGGCTTTTCTGCACGTACGTCGTCACCTTGTCGTCCGCTCGATCGTTGGTTTCCTTACCTGTACCCTTAGGAAATGGTACAGTATGCATATCCATAAGTGTGTCACACCCTGTACCAAAGGGTCCCATTTGTTGTCAGAGCAGGGGAACTGGGCACTCTGCGACGGACCCAGTTCAACGAAGTTAGGTCACAGAGTGGGATTTTCGGACTGATCATCCGAACTTTTGAACAAGCTGCCTAGCCGCTGCTGCGCTTATGTTCCGCTGACCATTGCATTGTTCAAACGCCTACAGTTTGATGGACCAGTCGAGGGAGCTGCATCACGGACCACCACTTGGATGATCGTTTCAATGAACAATCTGTCGAAGTGTGTGAAAAGTTGTTGGGGTCACAGGGAACCTTTTGGTTTGTAGTGTTTCAGCAGGGGGCCATCCCTCTCACCATTGGTGGGTGGCCAATGGTGAGAGCTGTAAACGTACCTGCTACTTTGAGTGTCTTGTTTGAATTCAATTGCAATCGAATTGTAGCGGCGATTCTCTTGTGAAGCCTCGCTCTTGTATATTTTACATTTCCCAGTGCATAGCAGTTCATTTCTGGAAGAGTTCCTTGGATTCCTTTCTGAAAGAACCCAGTAATTTTTCCGGACAGCACGCCCGCAGATTCAACTAACAGTTGAGCGTCAGACGGAGAGACGCTTGGCTGATTTCCTGAAACCTGGTTTACTCCAAGGTTTCTTCTCAGGCGGCCTCAGCAGGTACGACGCACGCATTATCTCGAGTGTGCCTGGCCTTTGCGCCAGCCCGGTCCGGGAACAGAGGTGTCCACAGCGGACAGAGCAGCCTTAGCGCAAACGTCAGTTAAGATTTGATGAATTACATGAAAACAAGCAGGCAGCCTTCGGGCATGGCAGGAGGTGTCCGCAGCGGACTTGAGCAGGCTTTACGCCACGAGATGAAACAAGTTCCCTAAGTTGTTCTAATGAGGTCTGGCTTCATGTGGTTTTGCCCTTTCATCTGTTTTCCCGTTCATTTGCTCTCCAGACACATTTTTCTCCTTTCATTTCATGTCTCTTCTGCCTTCATGTCAGGTCATCTCCTTTATTTCGTTTGCGCGAACATCGGTCCGGCCCTTAGTGTGTATCCGTGCACCCGTACATCAAATAAGTATTAGGTGGCCCAGGTTTTTGACAAGGAGGTGTCCCTGTGCACTTGATTTCCCCCCCATCACAATCACATACCTTGGTCTTGTCTCGTCTTCCTCTCATGTCTTCACTTTTTTGACCCTTTTGCACACACTTGACTCTTTCCTTTTTCTTCCCTTCCCTCAGATTGTTTGCCTCCCAGCACGAGCGGCGTGTGTGTGTGTGCCAAGCCCCGTTCCAAGGGACACTAACCTATTCCACACTACTACGCTTGCAATTTTTGTACTGAAGCAGGGGGACATGGCGTGCGTTCAGGGACCGTATCCAGCGAAGCTACCTCACGGGAAGTGAGAGCTGATCACTCTCATGTACCTGCCAATTTTTAACCACTTCAGTTCCATTCTTGTTCAAACATTCTGTTTTGACCGACTCCGCAATTTCCTTTAGTCATGGTCTAAATTGCAGTAACACTAAAGTGCTAATGTTCGCTCCGAATTTCTGAAACTACGCTCTACGGAGCACTCTTCTCAAGTGTGTGTAAATGTTGGTTTTGGTTTGTGTTTTGAGCAGGGGGCCACCCCTCTCACCATTGGTGGATGGCCAAAACATTCTGTTCATCGCAGGCTGTGCCACCCTTTCCGTTCCCTCACTCTTTTCCTCGGGGAACCCACTGTCTAAGTGTAGGGCCCTGTGTGAGGTCGATAGATGGTGCAACATAAAGGCCGTGAAACAAATTGCTAAATGGCTAGGGTGCTATCAGCTATCAAATTGTTTTGTTCGGCCCGGGCGGTTGGAAAGCGCGTGCATTCATCAATTGAATTTGGTGGTGTGAAGACATGGCAAACCCAGCGCCATCCAAGGCCTGCCCTTCTCATTGCAGACGTTGGGTGATGCCTCCTTTCTCACCACCAGCGTGGGCCGTGGTTTCCAAGTCTTCGAGTGCGAAAAACTGCGCTTGGCGTACATCGGACCGCGCTTCAACGAGAAGGTGCGCGTGGTACGGTTGATGTCCTTTTTCTCCGTTCAAGGCATGACTGTTGGAAAGGACCAAGGTTGCAATGCAATTGGATGCAATCTCTCATTTTGAGTCCTTCAGGAAAACTTTAAAATACGGCCCCAGTGAGTCCCTTCCGATTCATTTGGGATTAGTTCACCAGTTTGAAGTCGTGCGACTTCGAAGCGACTTGGAAGACACTTTGAAGACACTGCTGCAGAGTCATATCCTGGAGCCTTCCTCACCAGCCAGGTCCGCGCGCTCATCACTGTGGGGGAAACCATCATCACTGCACTGAAGCAGGACGGGGCATCCTTATGTTTACGTCCTATGATCTTTCGCGTGTATACATATATATATTTTTCCCCAAACAGTTCACTGTTAGGGGTTCTCAATGCTTTAAAGAATGGTCGCCTTGGTGCTGGATGGTCTGGTCGGGTTCCCGGCTGGCTTGTCTCCCGCTTCCTTTCATTTGTTTCCCAGTTCTTTTCATGTGTCTCCCAGTTCTTTTCATTTGTCTCCCAGGCTGGGTGCTTGTGGT